CCCTGACTTGAGACTGTAGTGTTACTCTCATCACTGAGTGTTCCTGTGGCCTCCTTCCCTTCTTCTTGTGCCTTTCCTTTGTGGACATATGATAAGGACACCATTACCCATTAGTTAAGAATCTATCCGTATAACCCAATGTCTTCTTTTCATGCCTTGATTAAGTTGTATCTTCAAAAAGGGCAATAGTCATAGACATGATTGAATCTTTTAGAAGGCTGTCATTTGTTCCATTACATCTAAAATTTTTCTTGTCATCATTTTTTAGTGAAACTCCATGGTGTTTAGAAATTGACTTCCATTTTCATTGGAGCTAATAATTTACACTATATATTAGTGACTTTGTAATACTTTTAATCACTCTATCATTATCCTCCCTTATACAGGTGAGGATATTGAAATTCAGAAAAGGGAAGGTCTTGCCCAAGGTTACAACATAGTTATGAAAAGTGCCAGTCTGTGTTTAAGCTTATGCTCATATACGCGTATATGTTCATGTCTTTCTTTAGAAACACTATGTCAGATTGTAAAAGATGGATTTTCTTTATTAGAGTTTTGACCTCTGTGTTTCTATAAGTCAGATAATCTCCCATAAAATCTAGAACACTACTGTAGGCACAGCTTGCCAAAGCAGTGATTAGAAGAATAAGAGCCTTAGCATGAAAATTGAGTTAGGGCCACATCACGGAAGGCTGTCTCCCAACACTAAGGTACAAAATACCAGGTACTTAGGTTGAAGTAGATCTTTACAGGTGAGTTCTAAATATACCACAATCAAGGCTTGGGAATACCCACACCTACAGTTCAGTTAGAATCTTGTCTACTGCATTATTATCGACTGTGCTGCTACAGTGTTTTTCCTTCCCATGCCTCTGTTTCCTTATTTGTAAATGGATGGCAACATCTCATTAATGCTCTTTAAGAAACAAATGACATGATAATATACTTTAATAGCAGATTCTTTAAAGTATAAACTCAATGATTGTTAATCATTACCAGTTATAAGTATTTTACACCAGAAGCAAGAGTGACAGTATCTGTAGCTCCAAGCAGAACATGGGCAAAAGTTTCAGAGTGTTTACTTAACTATAATACTATGCTCACATTAATGCGATTCTCTTTTTTGAAAAGTGTTTTTCTATCTACTCCCTTCCTATGGACACAATTTCAACACCTCCCCCCTATGCAGCCATTTCCTTAACCTACTCTGTTATTTCTTTTTTGGTGTTGGGTTTTAAATGTGACTTCCCACAGTAACTGTACAAGTTTTTAGGCTAGCTTCAGATTTCCAAGGTAATAGGATATGTTATTGAGTCTGTTGGGGAAGTCCTGTTATTTGCCTGTGCATTTGTCAATAAAGTACTGTCTGGCCAATAGGGAATCTAGATAGGAGGGACTAGGAGTCCAGGAGGACTCTGGGTAGGAGAAACACAAGAGAGTCGACATGTGACGCCATGGGGTAGGAAGCCGGGAACTATTCTCCGGTAAGAGACATACTTAGATTAACAATTATGGGGTAATTACTTAAGGCAGAGCTAGCCAGTAAGAGACAAGCAAGGCCAACAGCTTCATAATTAATACAGCGTCTTGTGTGTTTATTTGGGGACTACATCGCAGCAGAGCCCAGGCTGCTGGCGGGGGATAAACCAAAGCGGCTAGCAAGGAAAAAGCTTCACTTAACATAATGGTGATCAGGAGTGGGATTGAATTTCCACGTAGAATGACAAAAGCTTTAAAGGAATTTTAGAAACAGAAGAATGGAGAGAAGCACAGATTTTTGGTAGCAGCATTTTTCTCAGGTGTGCTCTGTTTTGCTAGCCACAAGCCGAGATTCACAAGGCTCACTTACCGGAGTCTTCCTGACTCGGCATAAAAAGAAAAAAAAAACCAACAAGGTTGTTTTAAGAGACTCTGCTAACGATTTAAAGGTGTGTACATACAGCTGGAAGTGGTACTGAGGCGGTAAGCTGGAGTCACGCTTACGCCCGCCATCTTGAAACGGCAGTTTAAAACAGCCGCGGTTTTACAGATAAGACACGTGGCCAGAAAAACGTAAAAATTTACAGTAAAGTCAGACTTGGATGAACAAAACCTTTAAAGGTTTACAGTGTGTTTAAAAATATACGTGTGATTGAGAGAGAAAATGAAATGACAAAGTGGTATATAAATACAAAAGCCGGCGTTGTGGTGGCGCACGCCGGTAAGATTTACTCCAGAGGCAGAGGCAGGCGGATTTCCAAAGAGAAACCCTGTCTCAGAGAAAAATAAGTAAAAGTAAAATAAATAAAGTAATAATAGATAAATAAATAAGCCACGTAAAGATGGAAAATACACAGAGAGTCTGGATACTGTATGTTATTGTTTTTCAGTTTTTTGCTTGCTCAGGAAGGAACTGCTACTAAAGTACACTTGATTATAAATGCTGCTGAATTAATTCAACTTATATCTTTTTGAAAATGCATTGACTTCAAAATTTAAGTATAAGGATATGTTACTCGGAAAAGGAGTTTTAGCTTATGTTTCTACAGAAAATGAAAAGTTCAGGATTCCTTCCAGGCTTTTGTGGTTCGACGAACCAAGACCCCCGGAAGCAGTGGACCAGGTGTTCCAACAATCGAAACAGCTAAGATGATGCAGTTTTACAGGCCCCGAAAATACGGACTGATACAGGTTTCTGAGTTTTGTCATGATCCCCATGGTATGAACAGCGCCCCCTTCCAGCAGGAAGCAGTTTGGAATGAGCGACGTCCCAATTCCCATCTTGGTTATAAATCTTTGTTTTCATTTAAATGGGATTGTTTATAATTGGCTAATGATCACAGCCGATCTTTTTTTAATGGTAAAAAGGGGAGTTATGGTATGGTATTGTTTTTCATTTATTGAGACAAAATCAAGGTCAATTTTGTGATGTGTATGTTTCTCCTCTTGATTAAGTATTGTGCTTATATAGATCCTTTGAAACGTAATGCATGCTTGAATGCAGACTATAGATAGTTACTTATAATGGAATTTATAGTTAGGTAAGTTAGGTTTTCTAGATATATAGAAATGTATTTGAGACAGATAGATAGTCTTCAAAACTCTCAAAGACCTTCAGAAAAATGGCATTTAAAATGGTTTAGGGTTTTTCTTGACAATGAGAAATGTCTGCTCCTGGCAGCACCAATTATGAGAGGAAAATGGGCATCGAAGAAACTCGTTATGGAGTTTGCTTTCAACATGGCAAGATTAGCCATTTGGGCAAGAAACTGCTCTTGCCTAGACTGACTGTTGCTGTATAAACTGGACATGCAGGACCCACAGGAAAGTGAATGCTGAACTCAGTCTTACAGGGTTCCTGCTTTATGGAAGAGTCCGCGAGACTTTCTGCAGGACAAAGAAAAATGAATGATAGACTGTCAATGCAGATGGACAGTTTGAAATTTCCTGCTTTGCTGAGAAGTGTTCCAGACACATTGTGGCCTATGGGCTGAAGATGGATGCCCCAACGTTACAGAGGAACTTCGGGTGACTGTCCAGGCAGTAAGATACCTCTGTCAATCCTAGTGTTTATATATTATCCTTCTGTGGTCTTTGATGGAGTTGAAGACAGATAGTTATAATTACAGTTTTCCTTAGTTATGATAAAAGATAAGCTACATAGAACTTTGGACTCACAAGGATGGGATGGATGATATTTTCTTTAAATCTTGCTAAAATATTGTAACTATGTTCTTATTTGATAATTGTTCTGTTATATACAATTTGACTGTGTTAAAGTTAAGACCTTTCTTTTTGTTTAAACAGAAAAGAGGAGATGTTGGGGAAGTCCTATTATTTGCCTGTGCATTTGTCAATAAAGTACTGTCTGGCCAATAGGGAATCTAGATAGGAGGGACTAGGAGTCCAGGAGGACTCTGGGTAGGAGAAACACAAGAGAGTCGACATGTGACGCCATGGGGTAGGAAGCTGGGAACTATTCTCCGGTAAGAGACATACTTAGATTAACAATTATGGGGTAATTACTTAAGGCAGAGCTAGCCAGTAAGAGACAAGCAAGGCCAACAGCTTCATAATTAATACAGCGTCTTGTGTGTTTATTTGGGGACTACATCGCAGCAGAGCCCAGGCTGCTGGCGGGGGATAAACCAAAGCGGCTAGCAAGGAAAAAGCTTCACTTAACAGAGTCTGAAGAAACAATCATAATATCTCAGTTCCATAATCATGAGCTCTGTCAAGAATACTTGAAACTGCTCTCTGATGTTTATCATTGTTTTTAAGACGTTTATGGCGACTTCCAGTCCACAAATAAAGAATTAGAGGAGTCAGGACACTGGGACCTTTCGGTTTTGGTGGACATTGTCATCTGCAGGCCAATACCAAGTAAAAGTGATTTACAACTGTCAAATTACATTAGATTACTTCTAAGTTCCTTTATATTCATGTCATATCTTAAACATTTGTAATATGTTGGTATAGCAGACAGGAAGATGATCAGGGATTCTCAGTCATTTATTGTTGCCTTTTTTCATCTATTGGTTTTCTTTGCTAATTTTAAATTTATGAACCTCATATAAAACAGCATCTTTCCTCATGAAAGTCAATGTCTGTAATGAAGATGAATTAATGTGTGTTGCTAATAGACTTGAGACATTAATGTTACTATCTATTGTCTTATAGATTTATTGATGAGCAAATGTCAGGACATTGAAGTGAAATGGATTGTCTCTATGTCAAAGCATGACTCAAAGACAGAAGAATATATTCCATTCTGGTTTTTTCCCTTTCATCCATGATTTATTTCTCCAAATGCCCCCTCTAATCAGGAAATAAATTCATTTCTTGGCCCAGAAAGCCCTTAATTATCATTGTTTAATGGAAACTATTCCAACATGAATTGATTTAAATAAATAGAATTCTAATAATGCTTGTAACCACTGCACCTTGCTAACAAATATGACCAAGAGGAAATGAAATTGGCTTCATGAGTTGTTTCACAGAGTGTCTTTTCCAACCTCCAGGTGAGCACAAAATGCCGTGGCCTCTGGTGGGAATGTGTCACAAATGCTTTTGATGGGATTCGTACCTGTGACGAGTATGACTCAATATATGCAGAACACCCCTGTACGTACACTGTAAACATTCCTATTTGGCAGGAAGGGTGTGCCAAGGGAAACTGAGCTCAAATTTCTACTTGTTTTTTTTACTGTTGTATGATATTAATGCTTTAATTTGAAATATTGGTAATTAAAAATTAATAACATTTTTGAAATATGAATCAAAACTTTTCTATCACATTTCACCTTTCCCCCCTGATTTTGTAAATCCCTTAATAGTAAAAGTATTGTCTCATCTATGTAACAAGGGACATAACACAATGCCTTATATACAGTATGCTTATAGTAAATATTTCAATAATTAAAGTTTATCCTTTGGGTGTTGTGATTTTATCATTATAATTGACAGGGTAGATGTGTTTCTACTATGACTTAGCTCAAGTAGAAAATTTACTGTTTTTTCCCAATTGAATATTTGCTAAGACAGAGTACTAGATGCAGAAAGAAAGAGAATTAAAGTGAGACAGAGGATGTGGGATCAGTATATGAGGATACCAGTATGTGTGAGAGATCATTAGCTTTGGTGTTGGAGTCAGTTAATCTTTCTTTCTTTGAGCTCTAAATCCTACCTTGATATTTGCAAGACCACCTTCCTATGAATAAAGCAATCTTTTAAATTAACAATCCATTGTTGATGGCCTCAATCTTTCTCCAAGGCATTGAATTATTTGCTTAGAACTTTGAACCATGCCAAGAAATACCAGTCCTGCTACTAAAGGAAAGTGCTATTAGTGCCTTTCAAAGCCAGAGATGGGTGGTAGTGCCCCATGAAAAGATAAATGAAAAGTGGTCCCTGTGTGATGCTCCTTTTCCCCAGACATCTGTTTCAGTCCAGGAAAAAGCACTTAAACAGAGCAATCTTCAAAAAAAATCTTCATTTGTACTTTTGGAGTTAGGTGTCTGAAATATTATTTGCCATAATTTATAAGACCTTTTATTAAATTTTTACTCAGAGGTTTTAAGACTTCTCCATTTGCCTCCCAATATTCAGCTAGTTCTATCTACACACACAGAATCACAGACACACAGACACACACAGACACACACAGACACAGACACACACACACACACCAACATGATTTGATGAATAGGAATGGGAGTTTATGTCAGGCTTTCAGTCTATTGCAAAAATGCAATATATAGACAAATTCAACAAGACAAACAATTTAATTTGTTTTATTATTTATTCATCCTCTTATTTATTTACTTATTTATGTGTGTGAGGGGGCATGGGGGCCTGGACATAAAATGATGCAGTTAAGAAGGTCACAGAGTTAGTTCATTCCTTCTTTCTGAGATTCAGGGAATGAACTCAAGTCTTCAAGCTAGAAATCAAAACCCTTTATCTGATGAGCCATCTTGTGTGTCTGGGAAGACAAACAAAAGTTAAAACTTTAAAACTTTTAAATGCTGGTATACACAGTCATGGAAGAATAAATAGAAGGTTTCATGAGAAAAATGACTGTTGACATTTTAATACGGTACTTTTAATGCTTTGCCTGAACTATCTCATGCTTGGTCTTTGTTCTTGCTTATTGCTTTCATAAAGTAAAGAACTTTCACCTTATTTAAATGATGTCACATATTTAAAGACAGCAATGATAAAATGTGTTGTAGGAAAATAAAATATCTATATCCTATTGGTTAGGAGGCTATCTATCAGGAGTAGGGTTTTTCCCCTCATTTTCTTCTAAATTCATAGAACTAAGTTAAATAACTCTTGCAATTTTTTCTATGGGGCTTCTCTTCAGGAAAATAGTTTGAGCGATGCCAAATAAAAATGTTGAGCTTGTTCTGGTAGCCAAAACTCAAACCCCTCCAAATGAAATTCATCCATAGGGCATGAATATGTTGCTTGCAGACTTGCCATCTTGGAACCTTGCTGACCATAGGCTCAAGTCCCAGAGCTTCACAGAAACCCTCTGTGTTGAACAGAACATGGGAGACTCTCTAGAGGAAGAGGAAACTGGGACCCATGTAGATATGGATGAAATCAGGCTATCTCATTCTAACAACATTAATGGTCCTGAGTGGGCCAAAGCTTTCTCATTACTAGGAGTCCCACTTATCTTAACCACAGATAATCAATAAGGTGTGTTGAAATGAGGAAAATAAAAAAAATCTAGCTTATGAAGCTTCATCTTTTTGCTTTGAGGCAGGGAAGTCAGGGTTAACAGGGACTTACTTGAGGCAGCTGGTCATGTCACTCTCATAACTGGGATGCAGAGAAGGGTCAGTGCTTGTGGTCAGCTCAATTCTTCCTTCTTATATAGCCCATGACCCAAGCCCAGAAAATGGTGCTGTGCGCTTTTAGGATGGGTTTTTTCCCATTTCAATTAACTGTACTAATTAATCCTTTGCAGTCATGCCTACAGGCTAAATAATCTCCCAGGCTTGTGTCTGGATGCTTGCCTCCTAGACAGTTCCAGATCTTGTCATGTTGATAGCCAGTAGGAACGATCTCAATAATGTGTGAACATATATAGAGTATATTCACCTACTGGTAAGATAGGAGGGAATTTCATGAATTTATTTTTTTCCTTCTGCAGGTGTGTCATGTACATCTTAAAATTTTGAACAGGGAAAATTGGTTGTATTTCCACAAAAATAAACCGGAATTTTATTTCCTCATTGAAAAAACTTATGAAAATAAAGTATAATTAGTATATAATAAAAGGAATAAATACATTAACCTTTCTTATGATCCAGGTAATATAATAGTAGTTCATGCTCTACTTGGTATGTAATTTCCTTTCTTTTTAGTACGTAGGATGAAACACAAGGTCTCCTGCATGCTAGTACAGTGCTCTGTCTCTCAGTCATATCCCTAACATTTCTTATGTAAAAGTCTGTGTAATTGTCACTCAGAGTTTTGATTCCACAAGTGCATTTGCTTCATGTGAGTTCTGAACTTGATAGGAAACTATAGGCACTCATATTGCAGCTTATGCTAATACGAATTCTGAATTCTATGCATGGCCTTATGTTGCTGTGCCTAGTATTCTGTTCTGTGATGTTCTTGTATGAGTTTGACATGTCACCTCTTCTCTCTCTGCTGTGACTCCATGCTCTTCCAGTGAAGTTGGTGGTAACTCGAGCACTGATGATCATAGCTGACCTTTTTGCTGGCTTTGGATTTGTCACCCTGCTCCTTGGTCTTGACTGTGTGAAGTTCCTACCCCATGAGCCACACATTAAAGTCCGCCTCTGCTTTGTTGCTGGGACCACATTACTTATTGCAGGTACTGGCTTGATTTGTTATATTCAGAGACTGTGAGTCCCTGATCATTCTCAGGTTTTGCTTGCAGAATTTATCATTTCTCCTCATTTAAGGCCTTCTATCCATAACCTGCTTCCTCAGAGTGGACAACAGTTGTATAAACCAGTGAATTTCTTATACAATTTAACATTGTATAAGTTTGTTTTAGAAATGGTTCCCAAGACTTCACTGGATGATCTGATTGATTTTTGTTTGTTTGTTTGGTTTTCTTAGTTTTTCTAGACAGGGTTTCTCTGTGTAGCTTTGGAGCCTGTTCTGGAACTAACTCTTATAGACTAGGCTGGTCTCAAACTCACAGAGATCAGCCTGCCTCTGCCTTTCGAGTTCTGGAATTAAAGGAGTTCACCACCACCACTCAGCTAAAATAAAAATTCAAGTTACTCAAGAAAATCATTGAAGGTATTGCAAAAGATATGGTCAAAGTAAGTAGCCTGCGATAACTTAGCATTTTCTAGAATTAGTCTGCCATATGCACAGATTTTTAAAGCATGTGTTCTGTTCTGAAGTTTGAAAAAAGGTATTTCCAAATTAATTGGTAAGTGTAACAATATTATAGAAAAGGATATAACTCAAACTCTTTTCTACTGTTTACATGCTTGAATTGCTTGGATGAATGATTAGAATCATAAACCCAAATAATGTTTAAAATAGTCATTACCAACTCTCCAGGAGGGAAGATATGGTTTTTACAAAGGGCAAACATTTTTCAAAACACCCTTCCAACACATTACTTTGTCTCCCAGTTGTCACCTTTCCCTTCTAGATGTGGCCTTTGATATATAATGTGTACTTAAAATTAGTACTCACTCATATATGGATTTTAGATATGGATCAGGATAGTGCCAGTCTGCATTTCCACAGATAGAGAGTCTGGGAAACAGGAAAGAACCTAAAAGATATGCATATATGCATAGTACCCAAGAGAAGAGGATGGAGACAAGATCCTCTGAATGGATGGGGAACACGGCGAGGGGTGGGGGGGAGTGGGACCTGGGAAGAATAGAGGGGGTAAAGAGGAAGGGAGTTGGTCATGGGGGAACAGGAAGTTGAGGGGGTGGGGGTAGAATAAGGGGAAGAGGGAATCATAGGATCGAAGACAGATCAGGCACCAGAGTGACCTCGAGTGATCTAAAGGTATAACATCAATTGGCAAGCTAAGCAATAGTGGAGGGACCACCTCGAATGCCCATTCCTGATAATGAACTTGATGTCTATAACCATCCGGGAGCCTTCATCCTGTGACTGATGGAAGCAGAGGCAAACACACAACTAATCACTGAACTGAACCCAAGGAACCCAGTGACAGAGAGAGAGGAGTGATGAGCAAATTGGCAAAAAATGGGCTGGCAAAACCAGCAGAGACAGCTGATCTGAACAGGGGAGTGCTCTTGGACCCCAGACCGACAGTGGGGAGGCCAGCATAGGACTGATCTGGACCCCCCAAATGTGAGTGTCAGTGAGAAGGCCTGGACAACCTATGGGGCCCTGAGCTGTGGATCAGTGTCTATCCCTGGTATACAAACTGTCTTCATGTGCCTATAGCACAAAGAGAGATGCTCTCTCAGCCTGGACTCTTAGGGGAGTGCCTCGACCCTACCAAGAGTAAAATGACAGACTCTAGATATCCCCTATGTGGAAGGATTTGGCAATAGGGTGGGAGGGAGGGGGGAAGGGGAGTGCGGGAAGAGGGGAGGGAGAGGGAACTGGGATTGACATGTAAAACAAGCTATTTAAAATTAAAATAAAAATGATTTAAAAAAACTAATTAGTAGAACTGTTACAATAGCACTATGAAATGACAGATATGTAAACATAAGTACAAATGAAACTTAACTACATATTCCCTAACAAATGGGGTATGCATTTTCCTAAAAAACACTACTACTAACATTCCTAGGAGACAGAATTTCACAGCAAACTCCCTGGTTTTATTAACATGACTGTCTAAACATGAACTTAAACAAGGAAAACAACAGACATGTTAAAGTGAATGGATCAAAGTCCATAAAGCCTTCAACCCTACACACAAAAAAACTATAAGCAACTAAGGAATGGGGAGGGTGGGAAAAACAATAAAAAAAATTAGTGGAACCCATGTGCTATCATGTCAAGCCCATCAGTTGTTAGAGGGACTAATCTGTGGGTTTTAGTCAAAATGGAAAAGGGATGCAATTTTTTGGCCCATTTTGACAGGGTGTGGGATATAGCACAGTGATTATTAGAAAAGAAAGGCCGTTTTTTTACATGGGATTTGCTTATTTCCCTCCTGTCTCTAGCACACTGAGTTGACCAGTATTGGATACAGTTTATATGTGAGTTTATATATATATTGGCTGCCTATTTAGGATAGCCTACTTTGCATGTGGATGTCGACTGTGTATCTAGGATAGCCCAGTTTATATGTGAGTGTTAACTCTGCATCTGGGGCAGCATGAATCCTAATTAGGGTTACTATTGTTATGCTGAAACACCATGACCAAAAATATGTTGGGAGGAAAGAGTTCATTTAGCTTACATTTCTATATCATAGTTCATTACAGAAGAAGTCAGGGAAGGATCTCAATCAGGGCAGGAACCTGGAGGCAGGAACTGATGCAGAGGCCATGGGAGAGTGCTGCTTACTGGCTTGCTCCTCATGGCTTCCTCAACCTACTTTTTTGTCTTATAGAACTCAGGACCACCAGCCCAGTGATGGCATCACCCACAATGGGCTGGTCCTTCCTCCATCAATCACTAATTAAGAATATGCTCAATTGCCAGATATTATGGAGGTATTTTCTCACTTGAAGTTCCCTTCTTTCAGATGACTCTAGCTTGTGTAAAGTTGGCATACTATACAGCACAGCAAGGTTATATGAGGGTGTTGATTGTGTGTCTGTGACATCACAGTTTATGAGTGATGAGTTGTACCTGGGACAGCACAGTTTACATATGAGAGTTGATTGCATTTCTGGGACAGCATGATTACATGTGGGTGTTGGCTGTGTCTAAGACATCACAGCTTATATGTTGACTGACTATATATATATATATGTATATATATATATATAAGAACTTAGATGCAGGTTTTGGAAACACAGAAAATTTTAACAGCATGTACTTTAAGGTGAATATTAGTGTAGAAGGCCTAGTGTGTGGGGGCGCACACCTTTAATCCCAACTCCTAGAGGCAGGTGGATCTCTGTGAGTTTGAGGCCAGCCTAATCTACATAGTGAGTTCCAGGACACTGAGGGCTCTGTAGAGAAATTCTCTCTCAAAAATTAACTTTTAAAAAGAAGAAAATGGACATAGAATGAAAACATGTTCTATGTAATTTTTGTTTTTGTGTTTCTTATTTTCAAATTTTGTTTTAAATATTTTAATTTATGAAATGATCATGAGTCACATAGAGTATTTTTATGAAGGACAAGTCATGAGGTGGGAGCCTCATGAGAGCATTATGGAATTAATAATTTATTTTGCCTAGCAGTGCAGTAACTGTCATATTGTGACACCATAAGGCATTTCTCATACACTTGTGGCAATGGGCACAGATGAACATACGCAACTATAGCATATGTAACCATAGCATATGTAAGGTACAGTATGTTACCAGCTAGTGCATTTGATATATTCTTATCATTATTTTAGAGTATACTCCTTTCACTTAAAAAACGTTTTCTGTAAAGCATTGTACCTTATTACAGCAGACTCCGATAACTCATGGATATTGCATTTCTTCACTGTATTGTTTCCTCTTGATATTGACCTCAATTTCAAATTGTTTTGTTCACTGTGGCCTTGGAAGCAATGAGCTATGATATTTTTTGCATGAGTGTAGGTGTGTGTGTGCACACACATGCCCATGCCATGTAGCTCGGGTGTACAGCATGCCACCACAAAAAATTCTCTGTTAAGTGATACATGACTATACAAAGATAACTTTGGAAAAATAGGAAGCTTCTAAAAACAGTCATAGCAATCATTTTGTGGTTGCACAAACAGATGAGCACTGTGTCACTTCATTTCAGTGTTTTGTTTGTGAAGAGGAATGCTGAAAGCAATGAAAGAAGCTGTCCAAACTCCAGTTGCCCATGAATTACAGTAGTAATACTAATGCTTTAGATGACAGCATGAATTTGGTCCTTGTGACTTAAATTTGGAGAATATTCTGCATGATTACTGATCCTTCTTATTTCTTTCAGGTGCCCCTGGAATTATTGGTTCTGTGTGGTATGCTGTGGATGTTTATGTTGAACGGTCTTCTCTAATTATACACAATATATTTCTTGGAATTCAATATAAATTTGGCTGGTCCTGCTGGCTTGGAATGTCTGGGTCTTTGGGTTGCTTTTTGGCTGGAGGTCTCCTCACCTGCTGTTTTTACCTCTTTAAAGGTAAGGGCAAAGCAGAATAAGAGCTCCTCTTTTACGGTCATCTTTTCCAATCCAAAGGAAACACGTCTCATCAGACCAAATGGCTCTGATCCTCTTCCCAGTTTCAGTCATTCAAAGACAACTGAATTGCAGTATTTAAGGTTTTTCCCCCCAGTAGTAGATATTAGTGCCCAAGGAAACCCAGAGTTGCAACTCTGTCCACTATCTGAACATGCATCAGTAGTTTATGTACAATGATCATTTCTATGCATCTAAACTCACTAAATCAGTTAAATTTATGTTCAGGGTTAAAGAGAGAACTTGACTGAGGGCCAATCAATGAACAATCTTGATTAAATCTTGACAAATCTTGGTAAAGAACTTATATTAGTTTTCTACAAAACCCCCCTAAATAGCAAGATCTCATAATCATAAAACAAAGGAAACTGCTCGGCCACGTTTTTCAGCCTAAAAATAACCTCCAGGTTGAAATTGAAATACTCAGAACTTCATCTGAGATCTAGTATTCCTAGATGACTTCAACTGAGATGTGTGTGTGTGTGTGTGTGCATGCATATGTATTGTGTCTTTGAGTGTTTGAGTGTGTGTGTATGTATGTGCATATGTGTGCATGCATAGTTGTATGTATGTGTCTGTGTGTGGTGTGTGTGTGTGTGTGTGTGTGTGTGTGTGTGTATGTGGTGTACGCACAAGTGTATATTTGTTTATGAATGTGTGTCCTAGTCTGTTTTGGAAAACAACATAAAAAGTGACTCTAGTTTTTTTCATTTTTGAAAGCTAACTAGGTCATATTTATTTTCATTTCGCTGCATTTATCTCTTTGAAACAGATGTTGGACCCGAGAGAAACTATCGTTATGCCATGACGAAGCGCTATTCCACTGCAGGTGTGTCCATAGCCAAGTCCTACGTGGCCCCTCGGACAGAGACAGCTAAAATGTATGCTGTAGACACAAGGGTGTAAAATTGGCCAAATGTCAATCTGTGTTCATATGCTGTTAAATTCATCAGTCAATGTATTTGAGTTAATAAAAACAACTGATCAATTTTGGAGCATTTATTTACATTTAAAATTCAACTTTTTAGCTGCTGGTCCAATCAAAGTGTTTGATTCTGCTGTCACATCTTCTATGAGTCTCCCCTGTCCCCCCACAGTCTCACTGCATTTGGAGTTAAGACTGATAGACTGTAGGAATATGTTTCAGGTGTCTTTATTGCTTTTGGAGATTGTGGCTTGGTGATATTAAAGTGAAATGATTCTTCAGAAACACAAAGCAATTTTAAGCAGGTCCAAGGCTCTAATTTTGAAAGGATCGAGGAGCTCTTAGCTCTCCCTGACTCAAAGCACAGGTTTTATATTCTTGGGGAATTTGTCAATAATTGAAGGAAGTTTATTGTTCTAAATTTAAACTTGTGTATCAGACTCTAACATATTCAAATATTAATAAAATGGAAGCAGAAAAGAAAAACCTCATGTACTAGTCTCCAGCGGGAGCTGCAGACGGGAACTACCCTTTCACACTCTAAATGTCAATGGCAAATGCTAAATTGATGTTGGAGTCAAGGGTGATTTCTTCTCACTAATGCAAGAGATCAGAGGAAAAATTATCATAGAACCCAAATCTGCCTATACATTGCCAAATTACATTCTGTCTTGACCAGGAAGTCACTCACATATGGATTGAATATCTGAAATGCACCACATTAGAATCCACCAGCTAAGATACCCATGTATCCCCAGATGCCCAGACTCCAGCTGCTAAATACCCAGTATGTTACAAAATGTAGAGAATACATATTGATTCTAATATGCTAGAGTTGATCCTCAAATGTCCAGAAGAAATACCTCATAAAATGTATGTTTGTTTTAGAAAGATAAAACAATAATAAACACACTTTAAGGAGCCAGTGCAGACTCTTAATGAGATGAATGCATAATTACAACATAACCATATTGAATCTTTTTTTAATCATAAAGTTCTGTGAAAGGCTAGAATTTTTTAAAGTTTTTTAATTTAAATTAGAAACAAGCTTACTTCACATGTCAATCCCAGCTCCCTCTCCCTCTCCTCCTCCCTTGCCCCTTCAGCCCTCCCCTAACCCCCCACCCAATACCTATTCCACTCTCCAAGGAGGGTGAGGCCCTTCATGGGGGATCTCCAAAGTCTGTCATATCATCCGGGGAAGGGGCTAGGCCTCACCCATGTGTCCAGACTGAGACAGTATCCCTCCATGTATAATGGCACCCAAAGTCTATCTGGAAGCCAGGGATAAATGCTGATCTATTGCCAGAGGTCCCAAGGAATGCCAAGGCCCCCTCACTGAACCCACATTCAGGGGGTCTGTATCAGTCCCATGCTGGCCTCTCAGCTATCAGACTGGCATCCATGAGCTCCCCGTTGTTCAGGTCAGCTATTTCTGTGGGTTTCACCCACCAAGTCTTAACCCCTTTGCTCATCACTCCTACCTCTCCACAACTGGGTTCCAGGAGTTCAGTTCAGTGTTTAGCTGTGGGTGTCTGCCTCTGCTTACTTCAGTCACTGGATGAAGGCTCTAGGTTAGCATACCAGGAAGTCGTCAATCACATTATTGATGAAGGGCATTAAAGGTAGCCTTTCCCCTACTGGTTAGACTGCCAGCTGATGTCTTCCTTGTAGGTTTCTGGACATCTCATTAGTGCCTGATCTCTTTTCAAACTTATAATGGCTCTTCCATTATGGTGTCTCTCATCCTTCTCTCCTCTATTCTTCCCTTGATTCAACCTTTCTGCTCCTCCATGTACCCCTCTCCCCTGGTCTTCAACCTCAATCTTCTCTTAGTTTCCTTTACCCTCCACCCTGCTCCCAATCCCCTCAGAAGATTCTGTCCAGTTCCCTTTCTTTGGGGTACCATGCATATCTCTCTTAGGTTCCTCCCTGTTTCTCAGACACTCTGGCTGTGGGATTGTAGGATGGCACTCCCCTTTTTCATGCCTAAAAACCATATATGCATGAGTACATACCATGCTTGTCTTTTTGTGACTGGGTTCCCTCATTCAGCATGCTTCATTCTAGTGCCATCCATTTGCATTTCCCTGATGGCTAGCGATGAGCACTTTCTTAAGTGCTTCTCAGCCATTTTAGACTCCTCTATGGAAAACTCTCTATTTAGTTCTACAGCCCACTTTTTAATTGGGTCCTTTGATGTTTTGGAGATTTGCTTCTTGAGTTCTTTGTAAATTTTGGAGATCAACCCTCTGTCAGATGTGGGATTAGTGAATATTTTTCCCATTCTGTGGGCTGCCTTTTTGTCTTATTGACTGTGTCCTTTGCCTTAGAGAAGCTTTTCAGTTTCAAGAGGTCCCATTTGCTAATTGACAGTCTCAGTGTCTGTGCTACTGGAGTTACATTCAAGAAGCAGTCTCTTGTACCAGTTCATTCTAGAGTACCTCCCACTTTCTCTTCTAAGAGTTTCAGTGTGACTGGATTTATGTTGAGGTCTTTAATCCATTTGGACTTAAGTTTTGTGCGTGCCGATAGACATGGATCTATCTGCAGTCTTCTACATGCCAGCATCCAGTTATGCCAGCAGCATTTGTTGAAGATGCTTTCTTTTTTCCATTGTATAATTTTAGCTTCTTTGTCAAAAATCAAGTGTTCATAGGTGTGTGGGTTAATATCAGGGTTTTCAGTTCAATTCCCTTGGTCTACTTGTGTATTTTTTGTGCTAATATCAAGCTGTTTTCAGGACTATAGCTCTATAATAGAGCTTGAAGTCAGGGATGATGATGCCTCCAGAAGTTCCTTTATTGTACAGGGTTGTTTTGGCTATCCTGGGTCTTTTGTTTTTCCATACAAAGTTGATTATTGTTCTTTCAAGGTCTGTGAAGAATTGTGCCGGTATTTTAATGGGGATTGCATTGAATCAGTAGATTGCTCTTGGCAAGATTGCCATTTTTACTGTGCTGATCCTATCAATCCAAGAGCATGGGAGGTCTTTCCATTATCTGGTATCTTCTTTAATTTTGTTCTTTAAAGACTCAAAGTTCTTGTTATACAGGTCTTTCACTTGTTTGATTAGCATTAACCTAAGGTATTTTATGTTGTCTGTGGGTATTATAAAGGGTGATGCTTCTCTGATTTCTTTCTCAGCCCATTTATCATTTGTACATAATAGGGCTACTGATTTTTTTGAGTTAATCTTGTATCCTACCACTTTGCTGAAGGCGTTTATCAGCTGTAGGAGCTCCTGTGTAGATATTTTTGGGGTCACTTATGTAAACTATAATATCATCTGCAAATAGTTAAAGTCTGACCTCTTCCTTTCCAATTTTTAACCCCTTGATCTCTCTCTTTTTTGTCTCATTGCTCTAGCTAAAACCTCAAGTAGAATATTGAGGAGATATGGAGAGAGTGGACATCCTTATCTTGTTCCTGATTTTAGAGGAATTGCATTGAGTTTCTTTCCATTTAGTTTGATGTTACCTGTTTGTTTACTGTATATTGCCTTTATTATGTTCAGGTATGTATCTGGTATCTCTGATCTCTCCAGGACCTTTATCATAAAGGGGTGTTGGATTTTGTCAAAGTGTTTTTCCACATCAAGTGAGATGATCATGTGGTTTTTCTTTTGCAGTTTTATGATATGATGAATTACATTGATAGATTTTCACATGTTGAACCATCCCTGCATCCCTGGGATGAATCCTACTTGATCATGGTGGATGATTTTTCTGATGTGTTCTTGGATTAGATTTGCTAATATTTTATTGAGTATTTTTGCATCAATGTTCATGTGGGATATTGGTCTGTAGCTCTCTTTCTTAGTTGCATCTTTGTGTGGCTTGGTTACCAAGATAATTGTATGTAGTCTTGCAAAAAGAGTTTAACAATGAACCTCCTGCTTCTATTGTGTGGAACACTTTGAGGAGTATTGGGATTAGCTCTTCTTTAAATTTCTGATAAAATTCTGCCCTGAAGCCATCTGGGCCTGGCCGTTGTTTTGGTTGGGAGACTTTTGATGACTGTTTCTATTTTTATTATGGTTTATATATCTGTTTAGATGGCCTATCTGCCCTTGATTTAATTTTGGTAAGTGATATCTATCCAGAAAATTGTCCATTTCCTTTAAATTTTTGAATTTTGTGGAGTACAGGTTTTCAAAGAATGGCCTAAAGATTCTCTGGATTTCCTCAGAGTCCATTGTTATATCCCCTCTTTCATTCCTGATTTTTTTTAACTTGCATGTTCTCTCTCTGCCTTTTGCTTAGTTTCGATAAAGGTTTGTCTATCTTATTGATTTTCCCAAAGAACCAACTCTTTGTTTCATTTATTCTTTGTATTGTTTTCTTTGTTTTGACTTTCTTGATTTCAGACCTCAATTTGATTATTTCCTCCAGGTTGAGTTTGCTTCTTTTTGTTCTTGAGCTTTCACTTGTGCTGTTAATTCTCTAGTGTGACTATTCTCCAATTTCTTCATATGAGCACTTAGTGATAGGAACTTTCTTCTTAGTACTGCTTTCAAAGTTTCCCATAAGTTTGGCTATGGTGTGTCTTCATTTTCTTTGAATTCTAGAAAGTCTTTATTTTCTTTTTTTATTTCTCCCTTGACCCAGGAATGGTGCAATTACATATTGCTCAATTTCCATGAGTTTGTAGGGTTTCTGCAATTTTTGTTGTTGTTGAATTCTAACTTTGAAGCATGGTGGTCTGATAAGATACAGGGGGTTATTCCAATTTTTTGTACCTGTTGATATTTGCAATGTTGCCAAGTATGTGGTTAATTTTAGAGAAGGTCCCATGTGGCGCTGAAAAGAAGGTATATTCTTTTGTGTTTGGATGGAATATCCAAGAGATGTCTGCTAAACCCAATTAGGTCATAACTTCTCTTAGTTCTTTGTTTTGTTTCTTTGTTAAGTTTCTGTCTGGTGGTCCTGTCTAGTGGTGGGAGTGGAGTGTTGAAGTCTCCCACTATAACTGTGTGAGGTCTTATGTGTGATTTGAGTTTTATTAATATTTCTTTTACGAACGCTGATGTCATTATATTTGGGGCATAGATGTTCAGAATTG